TCCCCTCCCCTGACTTGTGAGCCGCCCTGAGTCCCCTCAGGGAAAAGGGCGGCATACAAATAAAGGAACTGAACTGAACAAATAGTGTATACTTCTGAATTTTTTTTAATCTCATCTCACAAATCTGTTTGCTATTTTATTTCAATGGTATGATGTGATGATACTTAGGGACCGCTCAAAATGGCAGTTTATTGGCAAGTTACAGTTTCCCCCTTTCCTCTTCTTCAAAGCAGTCTGCTATGCGATTGCACAATGTCTTTAAAACAGTACAATTTCTATACTATGATCAGAGTAAACTTATGGTACATTGTTAGCTAGATTGCCAAAATAGTTCACGGATTCCAGATCATCTATGAAGGATGTAGCTGCCACACTAGCATTACCTGGTAAAAGAGGCCAAGTTCATATATTACCCTGATTTACTTAATAATGGTTTGATGAGTGAAACACAAAAGTCTGGATGGATTTCTAATTATCCTAAGCTAGTTTGTTTAACCATACCTTATTGAATAATGTATTAATATAACACATTACTTCACAAACTGATAATTTTGTACTAGCTTAGTCTGATGTGTGAATTCAGCCATGTGGTGATTTTGATTTGCACTTTCCCCCAAACTTGGCATCTTCAGATGGCATTAGATTTCAACTCCTTCTTATAACATCAGCTCTTATTAAAATCAAACACAGTTGCAGAGTACCAGGTTCAACTACACAAATTATGCATAGCTAAATACTATTTTTTTGTACCTAACCTGGAGTTAAGAATAAAAACTCAAACTCTGATAGGATAAGATTGGGACTGCTTGCTGAAGTAGCTTCACCAGGTATTACAAACGGTGGAAACAACAGGTTTTGGTGGGAGGCAGTGTTCCCTCTACGGGTGCACGGGCACACACATGGAAAGTAAACACCGCGCAGCAGTTTCTAACTGCCGTGCAGTGTAATTTGCCCGACACGGACTGCAGTCTGCAGAGTGGCTGCACAATCACGATTGAAACCCCCTCCAGCTAAACAGGAGTCTTGAGGTGTAGCAGGGCAGCAAAGTGACTGGGTTGAGGACTTGAGGTGGCTCGGG